TCATTGAGTCCAAAAGCCCCTTAAACATTCCGGCTGACTCTTTTGCAACTATTTTCTCTAAACAAACTTTGCACAAGGGTTTGGACCATGAAGCTGACATTTTTGCAAAGCAAGAGGCACACTTCTTCCCTTTTGGGCGAGAGCAACCTGCTTCAGCGAGGGGCTTGTCCTCCACGGCTCTGACCTGCGTAAGACAAGAGTGATGCCATCAGCCAGTGCTCTGCCCGCATGCAAACCATGTTACACATAACACTACCCAGCTTGTCCTGTAAACAGGCCCCCAATACAAGCCAGGTAAAGGAAGGGGAGAATCTACAAAGCAAACTCGCCTACCTTAGCGCCCGTGCCATGCTCTCCCAGATCTGGAGTAGCAGCACCCGGCCCGGCATCTGTGGGCATCCTGCAGCTCACTGCCGACCACGCTATCGACCCTCTCCTGACGTCCCCACCGGCCTAGGTCGGTTATGGACAGTGTACAGCTGATGAGTGGACCAACTCCCTTCACCGTTCACGGGACACTCTGCCCGGTTAGTCGTGGCCGAGCGGCGTCTGCTGTTATCTGAGCTCACAGCTCCTTATGTGTCTCCGGCGCGAGGCTGCTTCCGAACCCGGAAGTGACACGCCCGGAAGTGCGTCACCGCATGCGACGACGCGGCACGCACTACGGATGCCGCCGGTGCCTAAAAGTGACGTCACCCGCTCCATTCCAGCCTTCCACCACCGACACCAGCAAGGGGCCCAGAGACGCTGCAGCCCTCCGCGCGAGGCCAACACCCCCACGCTGCTGAAGACTGCACCGCTCCCCATACCATCAGGTAAGTGCCCGCCACGCTGCGAGGTATCCGGGACCCCTGGACTACAGCCCCCAGCTGCCTCCAGTCCCCGTACCCCTCTAATGCTGCCCCTGTTGTCACCATCTCATGTCCACAACAGGGGCTCAGGCACACTCCAGGTTATTACACCTTGCCACTGCTGTACACCAGGGGGGGGCCACCATCTGGCGCCTACTCACGTGCAGGAGGATGGTTGCCTTCCCTGAGTGATGGAAGGGAACCTTGGCCAGAAATCGGGTGGGGTGTCCGATAGGGAATCTCAAAACATTACGATGTCCCTGTGTAGCCGGCGGAAACACAAAAAAAAAAACTGACTTGGGATGGAAGGGGGAGTCTATTTATTTAATGTGGTTGATGTGTTTCCTGTTGCAGGCAGGCGGTGCCTATATCTCGATGGCTGTCCTGGAAGATGACTGGGGAAAACGATGATTGCACTACACATGTTGGGTATCGGTGAGAGTGAGAGCAAAAAATTCTAAGGCCAATATTTATGCGGATCTCAAAACTGATGATGGCCTGTAGGGGTTTTTAAAGCGTCTATGGCCATTTTGGGGTACTGAAATTTGCCGCTGTTTCACAGACACACACAATTTTTAACCTGGGCATGTTGGGGATCTAGTTACTTGTAACCTCATCTTTTATTTTTTTTAAAAGGGCATTTTAATGTGTTTTGGAGCACTAAAATTTAACTTGAGTGCATTTTTCACTAGATTTTTGGGTTTGATAATATGTTGCGCCAATATCATGCAACATGAAAATTTGCAACTGCCACCATTTTATTCCACAGGGTCTCAAGCTTTCAGAAAACATATGTTTGGGGGTTTGAAGTACTTTTTAGGCCTAAAATGTGGATTATAGCACGGGTGCAAAAAAATTAAGGCCTCGGACATTAAGGGGTTAAATATACAGTTACAGTAACCTAATTAACATGTTTTACTTTAACCCGAGTACTTATTGTAGCTTTTCTATTTAGATCATTACATGCATCTGCAGAGGATTTTGCTATATTTTACAAGTAGTTGTCCATTTCCTAAAAAGAAATCCCATGAAGGAAAAAAAAAAACCCCAAGACACACAGTGTGCATTCCTGCTGTCACATCCCTTACTCTCTAGGCAACATACCCATAAACACTTACTGCATTCCCAAAAACACACAAACATGACATTTACCCCTCATTACACACAACCCCTTTAACACCTCAAACTAGTAGTGATCAATTTGAAAAACAGGAGGGACTCCAGTGGGCCCCTGAAATTCCCAGAGGGCCACACAATTGAATGTTTTCATGCATTGAGATGCATTGTGTTGAGTAAAAGGTGCCCATACACTTTGCGATTATCGCACGATAATCGCAGGAAATCCCACGATTGTACGATAGGCGTGCGACCCGTTTCTACTGTACGGTCGCACGTCTTGTCTAACGAGCATGTTTGAAAACCCGCCGAGAATCGTACGATTGTCGGCGGGTTTGTGGCATGCCCGTGTTACAAATGCCAAACGGGCCAGTGTGCGAGAGCGCACACTTGGGGGGCGAGCTTTCGATGATCGCAAGTACGATCGGCCTGTCCAAGATGGGCAGATCGTACAAGCTTTTAATTCGCTTACAACCATCGCAAGACAAAAAAAAGTGTGTGTATGGGCACCTTTAGGCTGGCCATTCAAACTTAAATAGGCTGTAACGTACCAAAATGTCGGTAACGTTGCATATTTATATTGCAAACTGATGACAAAAGGGACAGCAATACAAACCCCCAACATTGGTACAAGCAACCACAACCCTAACCCCCCAGCATTGGCACAAGTGATCGCAATAATAACCACCAGCATTGGAAACCATCAATAACAAGAATCCCAGGTATTGGTAACAGTGAGCGCAATGACACCCCAGCATTGGTACCAGTGAACGCAATAATAACCCCCAGCATTAGTGGCAGCAATCGCAATAACAACCCCTAGCATTGGTTCCATTGGCAGTACTACAAACCACCCCATTTAGTGGTAGTTTGGTCAGTGGCAGTGCCATTAGCCCCGTCCCCATAATAACCACCCCCAGCACTGGGGACAGCGGCCGGAGTAAGCACCCTCAGAACTCATGCCAGCGGGCACATTTATCATCCCGAGCGCTCGTGCCAGCGAACACAATTATGACCCCTCCCTCCACTGGTGTCAACAGGCACAATTATAACACCCAGTACTAGTGGGCGCAATTACAACCCCACGGAGTTCTGTCAGTGCCGGGTACTAGAAAACAGAGGGTGTTAAAGCACCTGGCATTCTACTGCAGCTCTCCAAACTGTCCATAGGTGCCAGACCTAGCCCTGGATAGGGCCATCTGAATGATGGATACCAGGACAACACACATAACCAACTCATATACAATGGGCATCTCAGACATACGCACATGCACACCCCCTTCGCATGCCTGGCACCCCACACATGTACACACCCCTTCACATGCCTGGCCCCCCACCCATGTACACACCCCTTCACATGCCTGGCCCCCCACCCATGTACACACCCCTTCACATGCCTGGCCCCCCACCCATGTACACACCCCTTCACATGCCTGGCCCCCCACCCATGTACACACCCCTTCACATGCCTGGCCCCCCACCCATGTACACACCCCTTCACATGCCTGGCCCCCCACCCATGTACACACCCCTTCACATGCCTGGCCCCCCACCCATGTACACACCCCTTCACATGCCTGGCCCCCCACCCATGTACACACCCCTTCACATGCCTGGCCCCCCACCCATGTACACACCCCTTCACATGCCTGGCCCCCCACCCATGTACACACCCCTTCACATGCCTGGCCCCCCACCCATGTACACACCCCTTCACATGCCTGGCCCCCCACCCATGTACACACCCCTTCACATGCCTGGCCCCCCACCCATGTACACACCCCTTCACATGCCTGGCCCCCCACCCATGTACACACCCCTTCACATGCCTGGCCCCCCACCCATGTACACACCCCTTCACATGCCTGGCCCCCCACCCATGTACACACCCCTTCACATGCCTGGCCCCCCACCCATGTACACACCCCTTCACATGCCTGGCCCCCCACCCATGTACACACCCCTTCACATGCCTGGCCCCCCACCCATGTACACACCCCTTCACATGCCTGGCCCCCCACCCATGTACACACCCCTTCACATGCCTGGCCCCCCACCCATGTACACACCCCTTCACATGCCTGGCCCCCCACCCATGTACACACCCCTTCACATGCCTGGCCCCCCACCCATGTACACACCCCTTCACATGCCTGGCCCCCCACCCATGTACACACCCCTTCACATGCCTGGCCCCCCACCCATGTACACACCCCTTCACATGCCTGGCCCCCCACCCATGTACACACCCCTTCACATGCCTGGCCCCCCACCCATGTACACACCCCTTCACATGCCTGGCCCCCCACCCATGTACACACCCCTTCACATGCCTGGCCCCCCACCCATGTACACACCCCTTCACATGCCTGGCCCCCCACCCATGTACACACCCCTTCACATGCCTGGCCCCCCACCCATGTACACACCCCTTCACATGCCTGGCCCCCCACCCATGTACACACCCCTTCACATGCCTGGCCCCCCACCCATGTACACACCCCTTCACATGCCTGGCCCCCCACCCATGTACACACCCCTTCACATGCCTGGCCCCCCACCCATGTACACACCCCTTCACATGCCTGGCCCCCCACCCATGTACACACCCCTTCACATGCCTGGCCCCCCACCCATGTACACACCCCTTCACATGCCTGGCCCCCCACCCATGTACACACCCCTTCACATGCCTGGCCCCCCACCCATGTACACACCCCTTCACATGGCTGGCATCACACCCCTTCACATGCCTGGCACCCCACACATGTACACACCCCTTCACATGCCTGGCACCCCACACATGTACACACCCCTTCACATGCCTGGCACCCCATACATGTACACACCCCCTTTACTGCCTGACACACCATACATGTACACACCCCCTTTACTGCCTGACACACCATACATGTACACACCCCCTTTACTGCCTGACACACCATACATGTACACACCCCCTTTACTGCCTGACACACACACCTCCCCTTTCATACACACCCCCTCCCTCCTGGCACAGGCCTGTTCTCTCACCTTTTTTGACAGTCCTTAAGGGGGTCTCTCCGTCCTCATTCTCTTTCTTGGTGCGGTGCTTCTTCTTGCTCTTGTCCCTAGGCCTGTCCGCTTGTTTCGGGGTGAAGATGGCCGGGGTGATGGGGGGTTCAGGGATGGCAGTATGTGGCAGGCCTGTAGGAGGCAGCTCCTCTTTGCCATGGTGGTGATGGTGGTGTTTGTGGTGATGATGATGGTGGTGATGGTGACAGCTGTGGTGGGTGTCATTGGCCAGCTTCCTCTGCTTAGCCTCCTTCTCGTTCAACTCGTCCCCGTCATCTAGTTCGCTTTTCTTCTTTCTCTTCTTCTCCGAGCAGGGCGAACCCTCCCTCCGCTTCTTCTTACGGCCTGCCTTGGCTTTGTCCCTCTCCTCAGCAAACGTACCAAGCTGCGCGGCCATTTCCCTAACGACGACTTTTAAATGGCCCGACGTGTTTCGATGGCGCATGAGCGTTGCGTGAAGCACTGTGGGACGTGTAGTCTTTCCATCCACCTATCACAGGCGCCAGAACTCAGAAAGGACGCATGCGCAGCGCCTTGCTTGTTCATGGGAGTTGTAGTTGTGAGCAGCAAGGGCTGTAGTCCTAGGACGGAGATCGTGCCTGGGTGCACGGAGCCTCTGACGTCATTACTGCTCCCTGTTAAGTTAACCTCTGAGAGGCCGGTTGTTTACATTCTGCCGCAATTCCGCTGGAAATCATTAATTTCCGGATACCTGTTCGGGCGACGTCATACTGTGTGTGTACTGTGTTGTAGTAGTCGTACATTAATGACTAGTCCTGGTTGCAAAAACTTAAGTAACCTCTGTCAGAGAGAATGAATGTCACGACGCACAGTATACAGTTGCCTGACTACTTGTTTTTTTTCTGCGAAGGCTTTTTAAAGAGCCCACTCTGCGTAGACTAGAGAAATCATTTTTGTGCATTGTATACCCTAAACCATATGTAAAACCTTAAGGCCCCCCAGTCTATAGTTTAACCACTTGAAGACCAGGTGTTTAGACCCCCTTACTGGCCAGGCCAATTTTCAGTATTCAGCGCTGCGGTACTTTGACTGACATTTATTCCGTCATGCAGCACTGTACTGAAATTAATTTTATACCATTTTTGGGGGACAGATAGAGCTTTCTTTTGGTGGTATTTAATCACCACTGGGGTTTTTTAATTTTTTATTATATTTCAGAACATTGTGAAAAATGTTTTTTTACATTATGTTAGGAAACAATTATTATTACTCAATTGTTTTGTAAAATATAAAAGTCGGGGGTCACGTCGGGTAAATAGACACCAAACATGTCATGCTTAAATATTGAGCGCACCCGCGAAACCGCAAAAAACGACCATACCCAAAATTGACTATAGGCGACGCTTTAAAAGCTTTTACCGCTCATCAGCTCAGTCCCCATTCACACTGCGCATTTTGCGCAATATCGCCTGATTTGTCGCGCGATATCGCGCAAATGCTTGCATTGAGCAAGCTAGAATCGTGGCAAAATCTGCTCCAAAAAGGGTCCTGCTGTAACGACCCACGACAGCAGGACCCTTTGCCACATTGCCAAGCATTGGAGAGCGATATCGCAAGGTAAATAGCCGCGATATCGCAGGAATTACCACGCGATAAATCGCTCAGTGTGAACGGGGCCTTAGTGTTATCAGTGATTGATGGCCCTAAAATTATCGCTCTCACTGCGACGTTCGTGGCGATATGTAACATGTGCGGCATGATGGACGCAATAGTCGTTTTCGCAGGTATGCGCACCCGACAGATGTTTGTATAGGTGGGGCTTTAAAAAAAAAAATGTAATTCTTTTTTATGTGTGGCCTTAAATTTTTATTTGCACTATGCGGGTCCCGGGCTCACACCGGGCACAGCGGAGCCCGGGACCAGCGTGACAATGGGAGGGGGGCCGCGGAGGGGGGGGGCACGGGCCAGCAGCTCATACATATTTTAGATATGGGTCTGATATGGATTTTAAGGGGGGGGGGGAAGGGGGTTCCCCACATCACATCAAAGCCCCCCCCTTCCAGAGTCTGTGGCCCGTCTGCACCATGGAAAAGCATGAGGCTGTGCAAAAAGTTGACAGCACCCCTGATTGAGCCAGATGGCACGCTGGTTGAGAAAGGCTGCTCTCAAACTTGAACATTAAAATGACACAAAATTCAGGAGTTAAATCTTAAAAATGCATTTAAGTACCTTAACTATTAACAAAAATGTATCTTATTTGTGTATCACTCATCTGTGGATCCTTAAATTATCTCTGAATAAGTGCTGACACTGTCCTTCCTTATGGAGGGTGGCTACTTTTGTTCCCCATGGTCCATGTGTGTATTGGAAAGTAGTCACCCCTCCAAGCTCACTCACTACAATCTCAATATGAATTAGCTAACTAAACATGAGATTGTAGTCCATCACAGGAGATAGCTTGGAGTGGTGGCAACTTTACAACACACACAGGGACCATGGGGAACAAAAGTAGCCACACTCCAGAAGGAAGGACAGTGTCAGCACCAATTCAGAGACGATTTGAGGATCCACTGAAGAGTGATATACAAATATGGTACATTACTGTTAATAGTTAAGGTACTTGAATGCTTTTTTGGGGTTTACCTTTTGGGTTTATGGTCACTTTAAGTGACTATAGTTTCACCTTTGTATGTTTAGGATTGAAGAGCAGTCATCTATTGAGTGAGACATCTGTAGCTGCTGTAATAGAGAATATGTAATAGAGAATAATGGATTTAATGCAGTATAAGCAGTCAGCGAGAGGGAGTAAATATGCATCTCTCATGCACCATTTACAAGCGGAAACAAAGAATAAAAGATGTGGAAGTTTTTCATGTGCCATCTGACTTCTCCAGGACAATGCCACTGTTCACACTTGTGTTTGGGGTGAGGTAATTTGGCCTTGAACTGATCTGCCACCCTCCCTATAGTCCAGATTTAGCACCTCGTCCCCATTTCTTCTTCTGACATTTAAAAAACGTATCTTCATGGGAGACGGTTTTCAGTTGATGAGGAGTTTTAAGTGTGCTGTTCATGAGTTCTGTGGGGAGCAGGACAAATACTTATTTCTCTGGTATTTCTTCATTACCTGTCAAGGGGAACACATGTATTGAATTGAGGGGGGACTATACTGAGAGGCAGAACACCTGCGTCCAGGGATTTATGTTTTGTACGTGCATGTGGCTGTACACCAGTACCGACGTATACCTGCATACAGCCATTGACTTTTATGGGAGGCTGTACGCAGCACCCTGGCAGGAGAAATATGCTGGTAGTTACATTGTTTGGGCTCAGCCACTTGTGTTCAGGAAGCCATAGATTATGACACATGAGACTGCTAATACAGCCCCTTTACAAAGCCATATTTCCAGCATTGTTCAGCCCGCTTCAACAAAAAAAAAAAACTTGTACCACATTTGATACTTTCTCAGCAAGATCCATTATAAAATATCAGAGGAACAACGTAAACAGATGGAAAAGATAGTATGAAAAAAAATTAAACCAAGCCATTTAACTGCTAGAACCCAGTCTAAAGATTATTATCCTTTCCTTGGCCTGAATAAGAACCTAGCTGAAGAATACACATACTACCGTCTGTAAAGGCCCTGAGGGATGCACAATAAGTTCCACTAGGCTGCAGGCTTGGCACCACGGTGCTCTCCAAGATCTTTTATCAGAAAATGTGCCACCCCTCTTTGCTTTAACCGCTTTTTCAATTATGGTAAAACGTAGTTGAGAGGTCCAACCTCCATAAACTGGAGATGTAAATCCAAAAGGTACATATGTGATTTCTATGTTTACTGATACATGCTCTCGCTTCTTGCCAACATAACCAAGACCACATGGACATTTAGGGCCTGTTCACAGGAGATCAGGTCCTGATCAGGTCCTTATCAGCAGACGTGGAGCTGCTTATGCAGTGCGTTTTTGATGCGTTTTCGGTCCGGATGCTGACAGTTCATTTTTTTTTTTTTTTTTAGCCAAGGGGCTGTCACTATGCAGATTCAGCCTCTGAGGTCACTTCCGCCCTCTCGGAACATCTACTTCCCTTTGTGTATGTAAAGCTGGTGATCAGACATGTATCACATATTTGCAGGCATGTTGATGGTTGATCTGCAGAGAACGAGCCCGCAGGAGACGTTGTTATTGGGTACACCCAATCTTGAGGCTCCGGGACTCCAAGGGTCAGTTCTGGAGTTTGTATGAGGATTTGCGAGGTCACCCGGATACATTTTTTTCCTTTACTCGTATGTCCATGGCAAGGTAATGGGCATGTTCCAAATGTTTGCAGTTCATGTCGTTACCTCTACCCCAACCTGTCTGTCTATCGTTGATAACATCATAATAAGTGGAGCAAGAATACAATTTTTTTTTTTCCTTTAGCTGCATTGCTTTGCGTTCCGTTTTCGTTGCGTTTTCATTGCGTTTTGTGCGCGTTTGTGCGTTTCCAAGCCGGACAAAATGTGACATGCAGGATTTTTTCTGTCGTAACCTCAACGGACTGCGCACGTGAGAACTGTAGCCCATACAACACATAGGGATACATTGGGATGCATTTTGAGTGCAGCAGCTTACGGATCCGGTCAGCACACAAAACGGATGTCGTGTGAACAGGCCCTTAAGGAGGCAAATAACATCTTTAGAATTGCAGTTCAAGAAACCTTGAATGGGAAATGTTTTGGTTGGCAAAAAGGGTTCCCCTTCATCAAAAAAGTGCAATGGCCACAAGGGTAGATCCCCTCAGGAGAAGGTAGCACAGAAAGCCAATTACTTGAAGATGACTCAAGGACATTGAAGTTGGCATGTGCCATGTAATTAGTCTGTTCTGAAGATTCCAAGATTCCTTGATCTTTTATAAGCCAAGAGGGGAGGCTCCTGAAATACCCCAGAGATGCGAGGATCACTCGGTAACTCTGGCTAATGTTTATGTAGAAAGAAAAATGCTTGTCTAGAATGAGAAGAAAAAGTAAGGACCACTGGTACATGTGTGCAATATCGTTTAGGTTTGCATTTCAACAGAGACTCTCCATCATAGTCTCTAGTCTTATTCACTGCCTCAGTTATCACCTTTTGTGACTAGCAAATATATACACCGCGCGATCTCCAACCCTCAAATCAACCCTTGTACTGTAAATAACAGATATAAGTGCTCCCGAATCATTCAATATAAAACACAATATTAAAAATGGGGCGGCAGGGCGCAGAGGGGCGGCAGCGTGTGTGCAATCCCCGACGCCCGGAACATGCAGTTCCGGGCGCCGGGCGGTAAGCTGCTTTCTACATTTAGTCCTAGGGCGAAATGTAGTGTAAGGAAGCCGGCGCTTCGTTCGTTCCCCCTCCTTGCACTTACGTCTCTCCTCGCTGGCTCTGTCTTAAAAATAAAAAGGTGATTAAAAAGTATAAAATAATAATAAACAA